CGCGAGACCCCACCCCCCACCCCGGGGTGGAGCAGGCCGGGCGCGCTTGGTGTCGCCCTGGGGACGAACCCCCCGACCCCTGCAGAAGGTTTCAGCACCTGGGGGCTGCGCCTCCGCGGCGTGGCGACTCTCCCCGGTCCTAGCTATGGCACAGGGGACTGAAAACTGCGATCCCATCGGATCCATCTTACTCCAGGTGGGAAATGGACGTTCCCTGGCCTTGCCCAGCTACCGCATTATGGAACAAGACCGGCAGCGCGGAGGTGGCCCCCAAAGTGCCCACCCTGACCTCTTCCCCGCGCCTAATACACCCCACTATATGCCCTACGCTGCCGTTGGTGCTCCAAAAGCACGACCTTTCCACCTGTGGTAAAACGTTTCGCCGAACTTTTATTACAGAAAAATCCATCTTACTCTGAAGCACGGTTTGAAAATATTCAGAAAAATTTGAACCCACAACTTGGGAGAGTGGAGGACAGGCCAATCAGATACACAGGGAAGTGATAGGAAATTTGGGGAGATACTGAAATCTGGGAAATGGTTCTCTTAGCACTCGACTTTTTTTTAACCTAAATGCCCCTTGCTTAGGAACGCGCAGAGGGGAGAAAATTAAAGATAACTTGGATAGCAAATCAAGTTAACGTTTTGAATCTAGAAATGTACTAGGAAATGACATTTTCTAATCTGAGGGAGAAAATATACAGAAAGTCTGGACTTTTCCAGTGTAACCCAGTTTGCAGCAATTGAGTTGTTTTTTCTGAAATAATTAAAGCATTTCACGATGTAGTAGCTTTAAGATTTTTCCACGTATGTCATCAGTTTTAACATATTTAGCTCTATTAGGCTAAGACATAATGAGTTGAAGGTCACTCTAATGGGACTCTCACTCATTGGAATAAGAATGAGACTTATTCTTCAAGTGGACTTGATTTTAATTTGTCAGAATTTTGATTTCTCACCAACCACCTGGGAGAGACTTCCGTAATTCACCTTTCTCATAAGGACCTGAGCTTACCAATTTCCTAGACGTCCCCCTTATGAATTGTACCTAAAATCCTACCTCACCTTTTATCATTCTCTCAACAATGCCCTACAGTGAGTTTAGGAAACTGTCCAAATCCCTGCAAGACTATTCTCACTGCAACACTGGCTGTAGGTCTAGAAGCCCCATGACCACCCTCATATTTCATAATTCAAGGGATAAACTCGTAGAACTCAGGAAGGGTTTGATTGCAGTGGAAAGGCAGCATTAAAATCAGCCAAGGAAGAGACAGAAGGGCTGATTCCCAGAGACATCCAGACATGGAGCTTCTGGTCAGCCCAGTGGGCGCCATTAGCATCACTTCCTCCTCCCCACACAGCGAGTAATGCTTTGTGCAGAGCATTGCCAATCAGACCAGCTCACTGGGACCCCTGCTGTCCAGAGTTTTGATTGGAGTTCAGCCTCACACGGCCCTCCCTCATGGCTGACTTGGCCTACACCCCTCCTGGAGACCAGAGTACTGCCTTTAATCTCCTGTTTCCTCCAGAGGTTGCACCTGATACAGGATGGTGCCAAATGCCCACTGTAAATCATGTTGGGCTCTCTGGTGGCCAAAGTAGCCAAAGACATTTCTGTCAAGCAAGACTTTCCTAGAGATCACCTCATAGTGACCAAGGGCAGAGGCCAGACTTCTCTTTGGGTGAGGTTCGTTTTTCACTCTGCACACCCCTGCTCTATAGGCCTTAGACAACTAGCGCACTAGGGGAGACTTCCCTAGAGACAGATAGTTCTTCCCACAGTATACCTCACCCTGAATGCAGGGACCATCGAGGTTTTCTTTGTTTTTCTTTATTTCCCCAGAACAGGAACACCTCTTAAAAAGAGAGAGAGAGAGAGATCAGAATCTGAGGAGAATTCTTCATGCCCAATTTCATACTTTCCCTTGAGATAGTTCTGTTTCCTTGGGCTGTTCCCTTGTGGTTTGGAACAGTAGAGAACAATGCATTAAAAGCCAGAAGCCTTTGCACTTCAGAATGGAAGTCAGAGAAAACTGGTCAAATTAGGGTACAACCTCCCAGTAAAAGTTACTGTCAACACTGAGTTGTAAAAATGGGGCAGGAGAACTAAGAATAGTCATACACATATTGATCAGTGTCCCTCTTGTTCAGAGCGTCACTCCGGACACACTAGTGGAGGGTGGTGAGGGGGAGAAAGCCTTCACATTGACCTGGTTAATGAAGCAGATCTCTGTCTAGCACTGTATTCTCTTCTCTCCATGTAGAATATAATGAGGAAATGGGGAAGACATTCCCTATTTCCAGTGAGCCCTGTCAGTCATGGGCATGCAAGCGCCACTCAGACACATGCCACTTCTACTTGGGGCAGTGATTATTTCTTTCAAACCAGCTACCAAGAATGAGTACTCCTAGAGGAAAGAGTACATGATTAGGAGTCAGAATACCGGGGTCTAACCATGGCCTTGTCATTCTACCAGGTGGTAACTTAGGGCTAATCACTTTACCTCTCTGGGCCTCAGTTGCCTCTTCTGTGGAATACATAGTTTGGATTATGTCTGTTTCCCACTCTAAAATGACCCAGTTTCCCCAAAGCTACATGATTTCCCTTTACTGTGAAAATAGACTTGTTTACTCTTAGCTTAGGCAATCAGATTGTTCCTGGTTAATCAGTCTTCTTTCTCCGTTCTGCCTCTGTCCCCTTTCTGACTCTGTGTGTGTGTGTGTGTGCCTTTGTCTCTCTCATTTAATTGCGTAGCAAAGGCACTTCACTCTAATACTACATATTTGTTCTATGTCTCAGATACATTAAGCCATCCTTTAGACCAGGAGTTCTCCAAGTGTGGTCCAAGGACAAAGTCATTAGGACTAACAGGAAATACATAAAAAATGCAGATTCACGGGTTCCACTCCAGACTACTGGATCAGAAACTCCGGGGGTGGTGCCCAGAAATCTGTGTTTGCAAACCCTTCACATAATCCTGATGCATGCTCAAATTTGAGAGCTGCTACTTTAGGTTGGATTGTAAAATATAAACGGTAAGAACATTTCAAAGAAAGATCACATAATCAAAGCTATCATAGTATTTACCAAGGACTCTTTATATTTTAACTCACTTAACCTTGCAACAGGCTATTCAGCAAATACCCTTATTATTATTTTCATGTTATGAAAAGGAAACTAAGCCACAACAAGTATTGTGGGTAGGTCCATATCACAGAAAGTGAGAGCCAGACACTGTGCTGAGAGCTTCGGATTACCTCACTAAGTCCTAATAACTCTGTTAGGCAGGTATTATTTTTAGCCCTGGTTTATCAAAGAAAGTAAAGTATAAAGAGGTAAACTAACTTGCCCAGAGAGTACATCAGTATGTGTTGATCCTCGAATATGTTTTATCATATTGATGACATAGTCTTTTTTTTTAATTAGTAAGCTTTGTCTCTAAGCATTAAGATAACATAGCATCATTTAAATATATCTTCATAGGGCCAAGGATTTAGCTCAGTGGTTCTGCTGCCTGCCTCTAAAGCACAAGGGCCCAAGTTCAATCCCTGGTACCAAAATAAAATAAATTAATATATATCTTCATAAGTGTTTGTATGACCAACTATTAAATGTGTTTGTACAACAAAGGTTACCTGGTTTTATGAAAAATTAGCTTTTAAATTAGTTTTGGAAATTATATTTCAAAAATCCAGCAGTGCGTGCCAGCATCGCCCTTAGAAATATGGGAGTTTGATATTTTTACTATGTCACTTACCAAGCCATCTGTGTGATCCTCAAGGAACATACAATATAAACATGAATGGAAACTGGGCGTGGTGGCGCACACCTGTGATCCCAGCACTCAGGAGGCTGAGGGAAGAGGACCGCTGCAAGGTTAAGGCCAGCCTGGGCTACATAGTGAGTTCAAGGCCAGCCTGGGCTACATAGTGAGTTCAAGGCCAGCCTGGGCTACATAGTGAGTTCAAGGCCAGCCTGGGCTACATAGTGAGTTCAAGGCCAGCCTGGGCTACATAGTGAGTTCAAGGCATGCTGCAAGGTTAAGGCCAGCCTGGGCTACATAGTAAGTTCAAGGCCAGCCTGTACTACATAGCGAGTCTTTGTCACAAAAAAACAAACAAAAAAACTTAAAAAAAAAGAGAAAAGAATGAAGTGAAAGATAACCTGAAGCAATAGAATGATTCAGCAAACTTTAGCAGAGATGGGTAAAAAAGATTTTATGCTGCTTCTGTTTCCATGGCCTTCTAAATTCTACAGCAATCTTTGCTCCATTAAATCTTTCAAGGGTTTCTCATTAAGTAGCTCTATCTCCAAATTATCAAAATAATAATCTTTCTCTAAGTAGAAGATTTATGGAAAACAATACATTTGATGGTCACAGAGCTAATAGGTGATATGTAAAATTTCAATCTGGCGGATAGGACCAATGTGCAGAAAGAACAGAGATTTAGAACTTAACCTCTTTTCCTGCCCAAGTCTGGTGTGACTTGTCTCCGCTACAATTATACAGACAGATGGGTTGTTATTAGCGGGGAGGAAAATATCTGGCAAGAAAAGTAATATGCTCTTGAAAAAGATTAAGGGAGCAAATCAATTCAGTGAACATTTACTGAGTATCAGTCATGTGCATTGTGTTTCACTAGATTGTTCAATTCAGGAGAGAACCGTTGTTCAGTGCCATCCTGTGTGCCTAGCACTTTACATACTTCCTTTCGTTTTATTTTGCCACTATTCTGAAATAGCTGTTACCCCATTTTACAGATGAGAACACTAAGTCTCTAAAAGGCTAAATAGCTTTTCCAAGTTGTTTAGTTAAAAAGAAGGAGAAGGTGAAGGCAAGAAGAAGAGAAGAAGGAGGAGAGGAGGGGGAGGGGGAG